AGGGTTAGGGTTAGGAAAACGAGGTGTCCTGGCATGACTTTGATGGTTGGAATGTGTTTAGCATGGGCAGAAATGATGAGCTGCACAGAAAAAGCTACTCAAGGAAGGCTTTTTCAAAATCGCCCTATTCTCAATGGACCTTTAGCCCTCTATTAGGGTTAGGGGTGTGCACCAGGGTAGGGTTAGGGTTAGAAAAAGGAGGTGTCCTGGCATGATTGTGATGGTTGGGATGTGTTTAGAGTGGGCAGAAATGATGAGCTGGGCAGAAAAAGCTACTCACGGGAGGCTTTTTCAAAATCGCCCTATTCTCAATGGACCTTTAGCCCTCTATTAGGGTTAGGGATGTGCACCAGGGTAGGGTTAGGGTTAGGAAAACGAGGTGTCCTGGCATGACATTGATGGTTGGAACGTGTTTAGCATGGGCAGAAATGATGAGCTGCGCAGAAAAAGCTACTCAAGGAAGGCTTTTTCAAAATCGCCCTATTCTCAATGGACCTTTAGCCCTATATTAGGGTTAGGGGTGTGCACCAGGGTAGCGTTAGGGTTAGGAAAACGAGGTGTCCTAGCAGGATTTGGATGGTTGGAATGTGTTTAGAGTGAGCAGAAAGGATGAGCTGGGCAGAAAAAGCTACTCAAGGAAGGCTTTTTCAAAATTGCCCTCTTTCCAATGGAACTTTAGCCCTCTATTAGGATTAGGGGTGTGCACCAGGGTAGGGTTAGGGTTAGAAAAAGGAGGTGTCCTGGCATGACCTTGATGGTTGGACTGTGTTTAATGTGGGCAGAAATGATGAGCTGCACAGAAAAAGCTACTCAAGGAAGGCTTTTTCAAAATCGCCCTATTCTCAATGGACCTTTAGCCCTCTATTAGGGTTAGGGGTGTGCACCAGGATAGGGTTAGGGTTAGGAAAACGAGGTGTCCTGGCATGACTTTGATGGTTGGAATGTGTTTAGCATGGGCAGAAATGATGAGCTGCGCAGAAAAAGCTACTCAAGGAAGGCTTTTTCAAAATCACCCTATTCTCAATGGACCTTTAGCCCTCTATTAGGGTTAGGGGTGTGCACCAGGGTAGGGTTAGGGTTAGAAAAAGGAGGTGTCCTGGCATG